AAGTGACTTTCTTACAGACTGCATAATATTGGGTCGTTGAAAACATCCATTCTACCATCTTTGTCTAACCTCTCTTTAGACCAGTTACATAGAATGTAATCGATATGCCAATATTTAGGTCTGGTTTCTGTTCCCATTTTCCATTCCCTACCTTCCTGTAGGTCAACTTGAACATTTTGTAATATTACGTTTTGTATCATCTGTAGTATTTTTCTCTTCATCGCTTTGTATAGTTGTTATCGGTGGTTGCTCTTGGGATTACAATACACATACCTGACTTATCACAGTCTAGGAGGATCAATATTTTACCATTTCTAGTAGAATGTAGAACCTTACCACCATGTAAATCTCTTTGCCCTCCTCCCCTTTACAATAATAATTGTCATAAATATTATGTCCATACACTTTGAGAACCACATTGGATGTTATATATTTTTTGCTTTTAATTATCAAACATTTGAAAACTGTCAAACAACTTTTTTAAAAAGAGAATACTTTATTGCAATTTCCCAAGATATTCACCCTTTCCATTGTTCTCTCTCCATTCTGATATTCCAACTTTACTTATCATTTTATCTGTGTGAAGGACTTCCTTTAGCCATTATTTTAAAGCAGATGTTCTAGTAAAAAAAAAAATTCTTAGTTTCCCTTAATCTAAGAATATTTTGCTTTTATTCTGAAGGATATGTTTGGTGGATGTAAAATTCTGTTGGCAATTCTTTTCTTTCAACATTTGAAAATATTTGCAACTTCTTTCTAGCCTCTATGTGTTCTGATGAGAATCTGCTGTCACTCAAATTGTTGTTCTGCTAATACTGCATTGTTCTGCTCTATTTTCCACACATATTTTTTTGTCTTTAATTCTGAGAAATTCAATTATGATGTGTCTGGTGATGGATTTGGGGAAGTTTATCCTGTTCACTCAGCTTCTTGAGTCTGTAGGCTTTTTAAAAAAAATTTTGGGAAGTTTTCAGCCATCGATTCTTCCAATGTTTATTCAGCCCTAACAGGCATACCTCACTTTATTGAGCTTTGCTTCTTCACACATGCTGCATATTTTACAAATTGAAGGTAAAACTTTCCACCAGTAAAAAAATTACAACTTGCTGAAGTCTCAGATGATGTCAGCGTTTGTTAGCAATAAAGTATTTTGAATTAAGGTATGCACATTTTTTTTAGATATGCTATTATACACTTAGAATACAGTATGGTGTACACATAACTTTCACATGCACTAGGACACAGAAAAATTCATGTGACTTGATTTATTGAGGTATGTGCTTTATTGCAGTGGTGTGGACTGATCCTGTAGAATCCGTGAGGCATGGCTGTCCTCCTCCTGTTCTCTGCGACTTGCAAACTGTAGACCTTTGATTATTGTCCCACAGGTTCAGGAGACTATTTGAGGTCCTTTTTTCCTCCATCTATTTTCTTTCTGTAGAATATATTTGATTATTTCTATTGATGTAATTTCAAGTTCATTGACTCTTTTCTCTTTTGTCTCCATTTTCTTATTGAGTCTACTCCGTATGTTTTCAATGTCAAATACTGAATTTTTCCTGTCCTAATGTGTCCATATTTTTTTTATTTTCTACTTTTTTGCTAAGACTTTCTATCCTATTTTTTCATTATTTTAAGGGTGTTTCAACTTCTACTTGATGTACTTTCACTATGGCTGTTCAAATTTCTTATCAGATAATTCCATCTTCTATGTCATTTTGATGTTGGTGTCTGTTAACTGTCTTTTCTCATTCAAGATGAGATTTTCCTTGTTCTTAGTATGGTAATTCTATACTGTATCCTGGACATTCTGAGTGTTCTGTATGACTCTGAATCCTATTTAATTACTCTGTTTCAGCAGGCAGTCGACCCACATAGATTCATAACATACTCTAATATTAATTTAGTGTTCTGTGACTTTGTGCTACTGTTCTGGTCTACTCTGCTTGTGTGTCACAAAGTCATCCTGAAACCTGGGCAGTATTCTGCACCACAGGTGGAGTCTCAAAGCTTCTGCCATGTTGATTCTGGTTGGCTACATGCACAAGCTGTTCAGAAGTGTGTGCAGGACTTCAGACACGGTCTTAAAGATCCTTTTCAGCTCTGGCTGGTGTGGCTCAGTGGATTGGGTGCCAGCCTCAGAACCAGAAAATTGTAGGTTTGATTTCCAGTCAGGGCACATGCCTGGGTTGCAGGCCAGGTCCCCACCTGGGGGAGTGTGAGAAGCAACTGATCGATATATCTCTTGCACACTGAGGTTGCCCTCCCTCTTGGCCCTCCTTGCCCCTCTCTCTAAAAATAAATAAATAAAATCTTTAAAGAAAAAAAGATCCCTTTCATCAGCTCCCTCTTCTCTGGGATCCTCCCTAAGGTCTCTAGGGTTTATGAGGAATTCTGTCTCTTTACTGCCCTCTTAGTGCAGGGTAGACATCTTGACAGGCTCCACCTATCTCCACATCTGAAGTGCCCAGTGGGCACGAGTGTAATTTCTTTCATCTGGAGCAGGGCAGGTATACTTGGAGGGGTTCCATCCTGTAGGATCATCCTATTCCAGATCCTTTGGCTAGAGATGTTTCTTGAGACAGTTTTCTTACTTTCTTCTCTATCTCAATTTGGTCTGCAGTTGTAGATTGCTCTAGCTCCCAGGCAAGGACATACAGGTATACAGAAAACAAACAGAAGCATTGCTGAATCGTGCTGTGAGTCACGAGGTCCTTAGCCAGTGAGTCTGTGTCTCCACCTTTCAGAATCTTTTGACAGCTCCCCCAGGGCTTTTAGTTGTAATTAGCAGCAGGAATAAGGTGGAATGGACTTGCTCCATCTTTTCCAGAATCATCAATGATATTTTTAAAAGACCTTCTTGAGGTAGACCATTCTAAAAAGTATAGACTATACATTATATATAGTTAGCAAATTTCTGATGGGAAGAGGCCAGATCCATTCAAAAGATGCTTGTATAGCTGCAGTCACTCAGGCACAGGCAGGTTTCAGAGTTTGCTGCAGCCTTCTGTCCCAGGAAATATTCTCTCGGTGTCCTCCAAAGAGTCTCTCACTTTCCAAGACGGCCCCTACAGTCCACGTGTGGGTGAAGCTCCCATCTCAGGTCCCTGTCAGGGGCTGTCCTCGTGCCTCCCAGGGAGGCAGTATGCACTGGATATAGTTTTGGGCTTTGGAAGCGGATAACTTCAGTGGTAATTCTGCCTCTACGACTTATTACTAGGTGACTATCAGCTGTGACTTTCTCTCTCTGATACTCGGCTCACAACTTGTAATATAGGGATAATACAGAATCTAACACTTTTTACAGTCTCCACTACTAGCACATGACCACCTAGATTATGACTATAGCCTCCCAGCTTCCACTCTTGATCCTTCTTCATTCTTTTCTCCACACAATAAAAATTGCAAAATGAAAAACACATCATTTCACTCCTCTAACCAATTGCTTCCCCAAATCCTTATAACAGACCTGTAGGCCCTCCCTGGTCTGGCCTCTGCTATGCCTTCAACCCCATCAACCATTCTCTCCTTGCTAACCTCACTCCAGCCACTCTGCTGTTCCTAAAACACCTGAGCATGTTCCTGCCCCAGGACATCTGTACACGCTCCTATGTAGAAAGATCTTTCCCCAGTGGAGGCAGCATCACATGGTGCTGAGGGAAAAGGCACACACTGTCTGGGTCTGAACCCTGACTCTGCCACGTGCTAGGAATGTGACCTTCAGCAAATTATTCAATACTTTTTCTGTGTATCAGTTTCATCATGTGTAAGATCATCGTTAAGACAGTATCTACCTACATAATGTTGTCATTAAAATTCAGATTGCATGTGTAAATTTCTTAGAATGGTACTCAGCACATAATTGGCACTGAATGTGAGAGTTAACTTTTATATATGACATTGGTAAGTATAAGTAGTTTAAAACTGTGTATTTTTTTTTCTCCCTTATTCTTTCAGGTCTTTGCTCAAGTGTCAGAGAGCCCTCCCAGATTACCCACATGGTACTTGAGTACCCTAGCACAGTCTATCCATTACCTGCTTCTTTTAGGATTAACACCTCTGACATTACATATATGTTTGCTTGTTGTCTGCTTCTGACTGTAGGAAAGCTCCATGGGACCCCATCAACCATTCTCTCCTTGCTTTCAACCCCAAAAGACATTGTCTATTTTGTTCACTTCTGTCCTCAGTTTCTAGAACAGTGCCCCTGCAAGGAAGGTGCTCATTATGTGCATGTCAAATGACTGGGTGAATGAATGAATGGATAAAAAGGCTTTCCTAAGAGCACGTTTTGAGAATAAATGGGATAATGAATGTTAAATGCTTAACACAGTACCTGGCCTACATAAGGTAATGTTACATATTTTTCAATAAACGTTAGCTATTTTTTCGTTCTGACTGTACTTTTCGAGGCAACAAGGAGAAAGTTGAGCCCTATGATGCTTATCAGGTCATAAAGGGAGACGGCAGGGGTCCCCTTCAGCAATCCAAACTTTAGCAGGAGCCTCTGGAGACGACAGAAGGGTTAAACATGAACACACCTAAACTTTAGGAAGGAATTATGTAGGAAGTGTTCAGGATAAGTCATGGGAGTGAGAAACTGGAGGAGGCAGGACTACTGAGGAGGTGCTGGAGGTCTAGGCCCAACCCTTGTGGAGTAACAAAGCTTTCATAGTCCTAGCTTATCTTCCTCCTCAGTGCTCACAGCTCTGAGACTTCAGAGGGATAAGAACTGTCCCCTTTTCTGCGTAGGAAACTGAGGTTCAGAGCAGTGAAGTAACATATAGATAGGAGTGAGACAGGACCAAGGGCTCAAATCTTCCTACACTTTCTAGCTTTCCAATTCTGCTACGTGACCTAACCCCTAAAGTGTCAACCATTCAAAAGCAAAATTTTGTGATTTGGGTACACTGAAAAATACAAGTTTATTATCAGTAATCATGTATAACTATTTCTTATACTTATTTTATAGTGTGTCTTATCTTATACTTTTGGAACAGGGACTTTCAAGATACAGCAATGGGACATGGTCAGACATGATTTCCTTGAATCTGCTCCTGGTTTGGGGCTCTTTGTGACTGTTACAACTTATAATGAGGAGGTAAAACATTCTTTTATGTTTTGTTACTAAAATTTTTCATTTGCTAAAACTCACATGTCATGTATCCCCACAAACTTTTAAAATCTGTGTAACCACTCATTAACCAGCCTTTGAATTTTTAATGTGTAGGCCCCTGAACATAAGCAGTGCACAAAGACAAAGAAGGTACCAACCTCCCAAGAACCTCGTCCAGCATCAGCTGGACAGGGAAAGTTTGAAAACAATACAAACTGAGGTTTGCTGGTCGTGCTGGGCAGAGGGGAGCCACAGTGCCAAGGCATCCCAAAGATTCTGCAGGGACCAGGCTTCATCTGCTCTGCTGGTGCTGCAGCTCCCCACCCCACAGCATGAGGACCAGAGAGGCCACCTTCCCTTCCGGTGCTGGTGAGGGCTTTCTCTAGTACTCGGCAGCCTCTGCGTCTGTCTGGTATCTGTGGGAGTTAGCAAAGGAGTAGGAAAGAAACAAGTGAAAAGAATTTGGATTTTGGAGTCAGAGCCAAGTTAAAATGCAGACTGTCATCTACAAGCTGAATCTTGCGCAGGTTATTTGCCTGCTTTGATCTTCCGTTTTCCCATCTGTACAATGGATATAACAGGTGTCCGTTCTTCAAAAACACAACTGCCTGAAACAACACCCCCTTCTAGAAGACAGGAGAAATATTTTCAGTCACTCTGCAAGCATCCAACAAATTTTTATCATGGGCCTAATATATGCCCAACCCTCTCCTTGGCCTAGAAAAGACAAAAGTCTTACCCACAGGCCTTATTTTCAGGAAGGCCCTCTCCATTTGGATGCTGACAAGAAACAGCTCTAGTTTCAACATTTCTTACAAGTTAAGATCCCCTTTTAAGATCCCTATCAGCACCCCTACAAGGTCTCTATTCCTACTTGGGCCAGTGTGTCTGGAGGCATGGGGTACTCTAAGTTGTCCCCTGATCATGTGTCCATTCCTATTCATGTGATTGACAGCACAAGAGAACAAGCTGGTAGGAGAGTCAAGGTAGACCATATCAATGACACACATGTACCGCACAAACATGAATTCTGTGCCCTGTTTTCCAATATTCCATGTCCTCAGAAATGATGGTTCTGAGAGGTTAAATTACATACAAGACTTCACTGTCAGCAAGTGACAACACAGATTTAAACTTACATGTTTTTTTCCAATACACTAAACTAGTACACATTCAAAACATGTGTGCTGACTAAAATATCCACTGGAAATAGACCATGCAGAGTCTTGATATGAAACTACAGCTCAGAAATTCAATTTAACAGATAACAAGCAGTCACTAAATATTTTTTTCAGAGAAGAGGTCTTTGTTACACATTTAAAATTAAAAACCAATTGTAAAATCTGACCCTTGAATGCAGTCTTATTTAATAAGATTTCCCAGTCAACAGTCTGTCACTTATGGTTTTGTAAATTCTATGGGTTTCCAATATAGTGTCATACAGAGTAGTTTCATTCCCTTAAAAATCCTGTGTTCCATCTATTCATCCCTCTCTCCTTCTAACATTTGACGACCACTGATCTTTTCACTGTCTCCATAACTTTGCCTTTTCCAGGATGACACATAGCTGGGATCATACAATGTGGAGCCTTTTCGTATTGGCTTCTTTCATTTAGCAATATGGCCTTAAGTGTCTGTCATGTCTTTTCGTGGCTTGATAGTTAATTTAGAGCTGAGTAATATTCAGTTGTCTGGCTGGACCACTGTGTATTTGTTCATTCATCCAATGAGGAACGTTTTAGTTGCTTCTAAATTTTTGGCAATTTTGAATAAAGCTTCTATAAATGTTCATGTGCATATATTTTGTGTGTACCTAAGATTCCATCTTATTTGGGTAAATAAATAGCATATTTGTGGGATCATATGATAATATGTTTAGTTTTGTAAGAAACGGCCAAATTGTCTTCCAAAGTCACTGCAGCATTTTGCATTACCACCAGCAATGGATGAGAGCTCCTGTTGTTCCACATCCTTGATAACATCTGGTGTTAATGTTTCAGATTTCTGCCATTCTCAAAGATATCTCACTTTAAATTTGCAATTCTCTAATAACATATGATGGGGAGCATCTTTTCATATGCTTATTTGCCCTGTGTATGTCTTCTTTAATGAGGTGTCTTTTGCCCATTTTTTAAATTGATTTGTTCATTTCCTTATTGTGATTTTCATAGTTCTTTGTATACTTTGGGTAACAGTCCTTTATTGGATGTCTTTTACAAATATTTCCTCTTGTCTGTGGCCTATCTTGTTATTCTCCTGACCACGTATTTTGCAGAGCAGAAGTTTTAATTTTAATGAAGTCTAGTTTCTCAACTATTTCTTTCCTGGGTCATGCCTTTGGTGTTGTATGTAAGAAGTCATACCCAAACTCAAGGTCATCAAGATTTTCTCCTATGTTAACTTCTAGGGGTTTTATAGTTTTGTGTTTTACATTTACATCTATAACATAGTTTGAGTTAATTTCTGTAAAAGGTGCAAGGTCTGTGTCTACATTCATTTCTTTGCATGTGGATGTCCAGTTGTTCCAGCACCATTTGTAGAAAAGACTGTCTTTGTAATTGTGTCTAGATGGAGAGACATATTTCTGATGCTTTCTACTCCATCTTCTCAGAACCCTCTCCTAGTTCAAAATATTTTAAAAATCTCTTATTTCTTGATTCATGTGCTATTTAGAAGTGTGCTTTCAATATCCAAATATTTTGGGATTTCCCAGCTACCTTTCTGTTATTGAGTCCTACTTTAATTCCATTATGTTCTGAGAACTGTGTGTTTCTATTATTTTCCATGTGTTAAGGTTGCTTTATGGCCCAGAGTGTAGTCTGTCTTGGTGAATGTTTCATGGGAGCTTGGGAAGAATGCATAATTTGCTGTTGTTGGATGAAGTGATCTGTAGATGCCAATTGCATGCAGTTGGTTGATGGTGCTGTTAAGTTCAACCATGTCCTCACTGATCTTCTGCCTGCTGGATCTGTCCATTCTGACAGAGGAGTGTTGACATTTCCGACCATAATAGTGGAATCTTCTGTTTCTCCTTGTAGTTCTATCAGTTTCTGCCCCACATGGTTTGATGCTCTCTTGTTAGGTGCATATATGCTGAAGATTGTTTTATGTCCTTGGAAAATGGACCCCTTCATCACTGTGAAATATTCCATGACTCCATTTTCCCTGGTGGCTTCCCTTGTTTGGAAGTCAGTAAAGCTACTCCAGCTTCCTTCTGTGTGAGATAAGCTTAAACTTAGTGCACACATCCTTGTCTATCCCTTAACTTTTAATCTGTATGTGTCTTTATATTTAAAGTAAATATCTTGTAGACAATATATAGTTGTGTTGCCTTTTTAATCTGCTCTGACAGTCTTTTTTTAAAATATTTTTTGTTTACTTATTTTTTAGAGAGATGGGAAGGGAGGGAGAAAGAGAGGGAGAGAAACATCAATATGAGAAAGAAACATTAATCAGTTACCTCTCACACATATCCTGACCAGGAATTGAAACAGCGACCCTTTGCTTTGTGGGACAATGCCCAACCAACTGAGCCACACTGCTCAAGGCTGATAGTCTGTCTTTTAATTGGTGCATTTAGTCCATTGATATTCAAAGCAAATATTGATACAGTTGGGTTAACATCTACCATATCTGTTACTGTTTTCTATTCATTGTGCTTGTTCTTTGTCCCTGTTTTTGTATTCTACTCTTTCTCTGTCTTTTGTGGTTTGGATTGAATATTTTATAATTCTGTCTCCTTTCTTAGCATATCAGTTATACTTCATTTTTTAAACTTTTTTGTAGTGGTTGACCTAGTGTTTGCCATATATATTTGCAATTAATCCAAGTCCACTTTCAAACAACATCCTACCACTTCACAGGTACAGCAAGTGCCTTATGATAACAAAGTACTCACAATTCTTCCTTCCCATCCCTTACATCATTGCTGCCATTCATTTCACTTATAAACTATTGCATAATCAAATACATTGTTGCTGTTATTTTGAACAGACTGTTACACGTGAAATCAGTAAAGACAAATAAAATTTTTAACCATACCTCCGTTTTATTCCTTCTTTACCCTAACTTTTTATTCCTTCTCTAATGCTCTTCTGTTCTTTATGTAGATTCGAGTTTCTGACCTATACTGTTTTCTCTCTGGAGAGCTTCTTCTAACATTTGTTGCATGGCAGGTGTATCAGTGACAAATTCCCTCAATTTTAGTTTGTCTGAGAAAATCTCCATTTCTCCTTCACATTTGGAGAATTTTGCAAGATACAGAATTCTATGTTGGCAAGGGTTTTTTTTTTCCCTCTCTCTCTCCATCAAAAGCATTTCACTCCACTGTCTTCCTGATTGATGGTTGCTGAGGAGAAGTCAAACGTAATTCTTACTTTTGCTCCTCTACTGCTAAGGTTTTTTCCCCTCTGGCTTCTTTCATGATTTTATTTTTGATATCCACAGTTTCAATATGAAATGCTTAGGTGTAGCTTTTGGCATTTATCTTGCTTGGTTTTCTCTGAGGTTCCTGGCTCTGGTATTGGCATCTGATATGAATTTGGAGGAAGTTCTCATTGTTGCTTTAAATATTTTTCTTCTGTTCCTCTGTCTTTCTTCTCCTTCTGGTATTCCAATTACATGTGTATTACATCTTCTCTGGTTATCCCATGATTCTTGTATATTCTTTCAGGATCTTTTTTTCAGTCTTTTTTCTCTTTGTTTTTCCATTTTGGAAGTTTCTGTTCTCAAGCTCAGAGAATCTTGCCTCAGCCATATCCAGTCTACCAATGAGCCCATGAAAGGCATTCTTCATTTCTGCTGCAGCATTTTTATCTCTAGCATTTTTAAAAGACGTTATTTATTTTTAGAGAAAGGGAGGAAGAAAAGGAGAGAAATATCAATGTGTGATTGCCTCTTGTGCGCCCCCTACTGGGGACCTGACTTGTCTGGCAACCAGGCATGTGCCCTGACTGGGAATCGAACCAGTGATCCTTTGCTTCGTAGGCCAGCTCTCAATCCACTGAGCCCCACCAGCCAGGGCTCTAGCATTTCTTTTTGAGTCTTTCTTAGGAACTCCATCTCTCTGCTTACATGGCCCATCTGTTCCAGGACACTGTCTACTTTTTTCATGACAGACCTTAGCATATTAATCACAGTTTTTCTAAATTCCTGCTCTGATAATTCCAATATCCCAGCATATCTGAATCTGATTCTGATGCTAGCTCTGTTTCCTCAAACTGTGTCATTTTGCTTTATATTGTGCCTTGTAATCATTGTGGTTCTCAAAAGCTAGACGTGATGTACTGGGTAACAAGAACCCAGTACTGATTCCCACAGAGCTTCTTCTCTGGTAAGTTGTGCTCTTTGTATTTTCTTGTTTGTCTCTCCAATTTTGGAGGTAGCAGTTTGCCCTGTAACCTCAATTCTCTGACAGATCTTAAGAAAAAGTAATTTATTTCTGTTCAGTTTTTTATTTATTGTTTGGACACAGTGACAATTTCTAAGCTCTTTATATGCCAGACTTGAAGTCCTATATCTGTTTTCAAAATCCCAAGAAATATAACCACCTAACAGCTTGACGTGTATTCCTTAGAATCTAACACACATACAGAAACATTATGTGCATGCACACTTTTACAAATGATGCTTACTTCAAAAAGAGGATCCTATACAGACTGTTCTACCAGAGGATATGATGAACACCTTCAGTACAGATATGAATATAATATTCTCTTTTATTGCTATGCAATGTTTCTTTATTTGGCTTTGCCTAAATTTAATTACTCCCAACTGAACGGTATTAATGTTATTTCAAAAGTGCAATTTTGCTATTATGAATAATATCACACTTGATATCTTTTTATGTATAACTTTACTTGTGCATTTCTGTAGGATAAATATCTATAGGTAGAACTGCTGGTCAATGGTTATGTACATTTTAATTGTCTATATATATTGCCAAATTGCTCTCCAGAATGGTTGTTCCATTTGCATTCCCAAAGCAGTGTTTGGAGGTAGTATTCCTCACTACTACCCTTGGGTACTTTTAAATCTTTGCTGACCTGGTAACAACAAGAGATATCCGATTGTGGTTTGCATTTTTTTTATTACTAACAAGTCTGAATATTTTTCACGTTTATTGGTGATTTGATATCTTCTTTAGGAATTGCACAATGTTTACTAGATATATAGGAGAGATTTATTTTTAAGAACAGAAACTAAAGAATAACAAACTAAAAGTATGGAAATCCTCAATCCTAGGTATTGCTGTCAAAGTTATATGGCTCACAAGGAACATTCTATTTTACTTCACATTCACCTGGAGAACACATCATTTGCTTAGAATCTAATTCTACGAGGCTTGTGTCATTTGGAGGGAGTAAGCTGGTAAGTACCCGCCCCCATGTCCCTGTTAATGAACACAGCGTCAGCACTATTCAGGCGTGACATTGGTATGCAGAGCCATGACACCCAGACTGGTTAGAAAGTTATTAAAGCCCTGCACCCAGATCTCAGCACAACAACCAAGGAGGGAGCTGGAGAGCTTGGAAGAGGTTCAAAGGAGCGCCACAAAGTTGATTAAAGGGCTTGAAAAATAAGAACTGTGAGGGAAGGTTAAAAGAGCTGTGATTATTCAGGCTTGAAAACAAGTGAGGACTGAGGGTGAATTAATAATGGAATTCCAATAAGTAGAACTCTTCACGGTAGATGGTGATTGGCTATTTTCTAAATGTGCTGAGGATGAACGAGGAGAATTTGTACTTTAGCATCAGAAACTCAGCTGTGTATAAAGAAACTTTCCTGAGAGTAATCAGATTCTCAACACCAAACACATTTGCCTGATAGTAAATCTGATGTTCAGGAAAGTGTGAAGTACCCTCAGGTCAGGAGGTTACCGTTTAGGACATTATTATTACAAATAAGGCTGCTGAGTAAGACAAAGAATAGAGTGGCAGTGAGGGGAAAAGGGGGATGGAAAACCAGGGACTGCCTGCTCTTGTAAAGGGGGGAAAGGAAGGAGAGAGGCACTAAGGACACAAAGAGGGAAAATGAAGGGGAAAGGGGAGCTGTTTTAAAAACACGTTTCTTCCTTTTCACTGTTTGCACAGCGGATCCACTTAGACATTCGTGTTGGAGAACATGACCTCGATGCTGCCATTGCTCAAGCCAAGGACAAAGTTAATGAAGTTAGCTTCAAGCTTGAACATCTAATTGAGCAAATTGAGCAAATAGTCAAAGAACAAAACTATCAAAGGGTCAGTTTGCCTGTTCAGCTCATTTTATCTCTTCCTGCCAGGAATCTAATTCTGCAGATAAAGTTCCTGAACCAAGAAAAAGAATGCACTGCCTGTTCCTTAGTCCCTCGTTCTGAGCCAGACACGCAGGCTGTGTGTGGACATGGCGGTTGTGGGAAAAGGGCAGTCCTGCACCCTGCCCGTTGGACCACAAGCTCCTCTAGGACAGAAGGCCGTGGCCCATTCACCTTTGGGGTGTGAGCTTGTGGAATGAATGAATAAGGGCTTCCAAACATAATCCACGCATTTGAAGAGGCTCAGTATGCTTACTTTCCAAATCACTGTTTTGTTCCTGTGACATTATGTGTTTTCTGGGTCACGGCACTCAGTGGACTCCAGTCATAGGTGAGCTCAAATGTGCTCCATCACTCACTAACCTTGTGTCATCTCTGGGCTGCAGTTTCTTCATCTGAGTAATAAGATGAGGGCAGGTGCATGACACAGGGCTTAACGTAAAGTAAAGGAAGAATTCAAACCATGAAAATCTACCATTACTGGGTAATGTTCACTTTGCTTAAAGGTGAAAAATGTATAAAGTAGTAAGTCAAATACCAGATACATTTACACCAAAATACAAAAATGTCTTACAAGATTGATTCTTACCCCTTTGCTGACAAGACACCTGGCTTAGAAAACCAGAGATACTTTGGTATAAGAGGCTCATTGGGAAATATTAAATACCTTGCATGGATACAGCACCTTCTCCTCAAACTCATGCATTAAATGCTTTAAGAATCTAAACCTGCCTATTTCTCTCCTGTATAGGACCGTGAAGAAAATTTTCGAATGACTAGTGAAGACACAAACAGCAATGTTTTATGGTGGGCTTTTGCACAAACATTAATCTTTATCTCAGTTGGAATTTTACAAATGAAGTACCTTAAAGACTTCTTTATAGCTAAGAAGCTTGTTTAAAATGTTAATAAGGACAAATAACTACCTGCTAATTTGCATGTTTGAGTTAATAAATAAAAGTACATTCATAAATGTGTATTACAGCAAGTCATTGAATACCATTGTTTTGTTCAATGTCATTCTGTCCTAAGTTTGATGGAAAAAAATCGTTTTCCCACGGGGACCACTGACTGTGGGATTTGCACGTTCTCCCCTCCCACGTCCCAACAGCGGGCACCGTGGGCCCATGAGGTGAAGCTGTTCACATTGTCCCAGCGGGAGTGTGGGAGGCACTGCGGGAGAGCGCACGGCGTCCTGCCTGCGGCGGGTCCGCCCGGCGCCCTGAACTTCCGGGAGGGACTGGCCCCCCAGGACCCTGAACTGGAATCAGCAGGTTGAAAAATAATGATATTGTTTTCATTAATCCTTCTTAAATATACGTACACTAACAGCTCACATTTGTCTCAATGTTTAGCATTAGAAGTCTTTATCTGGAAATTTGGCAATGCTTTCGCGACCCGAAGTATGCCACAGGCACGGAACTCCGGTTTATATTCATCAGCCTCGGGGGGCTGCCGTCCTGGTCTCTGGGAACCCGTCCACAGCCGCGAGGGCTCCCGCGCTTGCGTGACCGGCGACGCCGACGGAAAGCCGCTTTGACAACGCAGCTCCCGACGCTGAGAGAGTAAGCGTGTCGTCGCTTCTCGTTTCGGGCGCGGTGCAGGCCAGCACCGCCCAGCAGAAACAAAGTACCGGCCACGGAGGAGAAATTTGTTTTCTGGTTGCCACATCAATAGGATTTTAAAAAGCGGTAAAATCAATCCTAGCGACGCATTTAACCCATTACATCAAAAGTATTACCGCTCTAACACATCATCAGCACAAAATAGCGAACGCGCTCCCTTTTCAACGTGCGGTCTTGGGAACGCGGGTCCCGTGTCACGCTGAGCGCACGCCTGGACCTGCCACGGCGCAAGCTCGCGGCCCCCGTGGGACCGGCCCCACGCAGGTCGCCGACAGCCACCGGAACCTCTGCTGCTCCCAACCTTCGGAAGACACCTCTTTTCCGCACAGCACCCGTACCCTCCTCCGGAAACCTCCTCCGCCACGGGGCGGGGGGTCTCCCCCGGGGCCCCGTCCGACACACGGGGGGGGTCTCCCCCGGGGCCCCGTCCGACACCCGGGGCATCCTCACCCGGGGCCTCCTGACACGGGCCGCGCAGGAAGGGGTCCCCACCCGCCGTGTCTGTGTTCCGAGGCCGACAGACAGAGTGCAGACTCCCGAGCCCAGCCCCAGATCAAGCCGTTCCACGAGCGCGTCAGAAGAGGCGGCCCCGGCCCTCCCAGCCCTCAGTCCGGCCCCCAATCCCAGCTCCCCACGCCCCCTCCGGGCCCCCGCCCGGTGCGCCGGGCCCAGAGTGTCCCTCCCCCGGCACCCACAGTTGCGCATGGACAGGCAGAGGCAGGGCCACCTGTTCCCCCAGGGCAAGCGCATCCCGCGTCCTGGCGGCCGCAGCCTCACCTGACTCGGCTGCCGCCTCTCGGCGCCCGGGTCGCTGACGGGGCACCTTCTCTGGGGCCTGGACTGCGACACGCTGCCCCACAGCGGGGTCACCGGACTGGCAGCGATGGAACGAGGGTGCCAGGTCCTCCGTGCGTGTTCCTCCCCTCAGGCGAGCAGCCGAAGCCGCCCGTGGGACCACCGCGCCCGCCCGCCCCGCGTTCGCCCGCGAGCACTGTCCTGGACAGGTTTTGGCGGGAGCGGCCTGCGCTCTGGTGCGCAGGCGCGGGGCTGCGCGCCAATGTGCGCAGGCGCAGCATCGTCCGCCGGGGCGCGCAGGCGTAGACTCCCCTCCCAGAGCCGACGCCTGGAGGCCCCGTGGAGGCTGCGTGTGAACGTCACGTGGGCGCCACAGGGGCGTCGCAGGGGGGGGCACGCGGGCACGCGGGACGGCAACGGACGCGCGGCATGGCCAGCTGGGTGTTGTGTAATCGCTGTTTCCAGCCTCCCTCGCGGACAGCGCGCTTTAGCCTGACCAGCTGCGGCCACGTGTACTGCGACGGCTGCCTGAGCAGAGGTGGGCGGGGCGGCGGGGATGTCGCAGGTGGGGAGCGGGCCGTGCCCCCGACAGAGAGGAAGGGGACGGGCGGGAATGCAGCGGCTGGCCGCGATTGGGCACCCCCCTCCAAGCCTGTACTGACCCTGTGGAAGGAATGGGGGACACCCAGGAAGAGTGGGGTGCACCTGCAGGGGCTGCAAAGCCAGCGGTGTTGGCACCCACTTCTCAGCTGGGCCATGGCTGATCTGGGTCTCCCTGCGTGGGGACCAGGACGGGGGACGCGGGGCTGCCACCCGTTGGTGAAGAAGCCAAGCTGGCGGGAGAGCAGGTGCGGAGCCAGGACCGCAGGCCATCGGCGCTGGGGCCTGATGACACCCACGCTCCTGCTCCACCTGCAGGCTGGGAGGTGCAGGCTGATGTTCGCGCCGGCCATGCGTGGGGGGAGGGCGCTGGAATCTCAGAGGGGAACGTGGTGCAGTAAATGCTGGGGTCACTGGATTTGGGGCGAAGACAGGAGGAGAGCAGAGCGTTAGCTCGCTGCCAGCAGGTGGGACGCCTGAACCTTTCATCCTTTAGGCGCTAGCGCTGCCGTGCACGTAGCAGGAGCTCAGTGCACGCCTAGAAAATACGGATCCAGGGAGGCGATGCATCAGCTGCCCCTCGTGTTGCAGAAGTGAGGCTGAGGGCATAGGGCAACACTTACTTTGTCTGTTGGGTGGGTAAGAGGAGCTATTTGCAAATTAAGATATTGGTATAAAATTTAATTGTAAGAAATACCTGGGATAGGCAAGTTTAACTCCTACAGATTTATGCTCACTTGTTGGGGGCCTATTTGCAAAACAGAAAAAAAAAAGAATGTTATATGAATCTTTTCAACGATATCCATACCCACAGTCTCTGCCACTGTTTGAAAATGCTATGATCCTGTATATTTTTGAAGTGTTATAATTTAAAGTGTGTATTTACACATATTTAAAAGCACTTTTCACAATAATGTAACATTTGCTTTCCTTTTACAGGTAAAAAGGATGAATGCTTGATTTGTAAAGTTCCTTGTCGTACAGTTTTACTTTCAAAACATGTAAGTTGAAATCTGTACTATCTGAATATTGATCTCAGTGTTTCCTTTAAATGTGAGACGCAAATTTTGGTCATTTGTGGTGTCTAAAAGTTTCATTCATTTTGTTAGGTTAACTGGAAGAGCTCAAAGGATTTCTGAGTAAATTCAAAGTACAATTAGAATTTGGTTTCAAATACCTCATACAACTTTCTTAACTGTAGATTGGCCTACCTGTTCATTTGCTGTCCATGTTCCTGAAAATGAAACTGTGTTGAATACGTTTCTTCAGTACAGTACAAGCTCCTTAAGAAGGTGACAGAGTTCGGTTTTGCATGGGGTCCTCTCCAGTTAAGAGGGTTGGAGGAAAGTAGGTTTAAAATTGATTATTATTGCAGTAGCTGAAAAGAATGCCTTTTGTTCTTTCTATAAAGTACATCAGTTTAACTTGTTTGATCTAAATTTGGGTACAAATAATTGTTCTTGTTACCCTTAGGCTCCAAGATGTGTATTTGATCTGACGTTTTAATCTATAACAATTGCCTTTTCTGATTACAAGTATAAAACACTGACACACTATGCAAACGATACAGAAGGTCACAGTGGAGATGCAGAAGGGCCCCCATTCTGCTCCCCAAAGACAGCAGCCGGGAGTGGGCCCCTGCTCTGTGTGGCCACTGTGCTTTATCTTCTCACAAAAGCGGTGTTTTCTCGGCTGACATGTTTCAGGCACAGCCACACTCTTTAAAGATGACTGCATAGCCTTTCGATATTTCCAACTGGTAAACTTTTGGGTTTTTTTTTTTTTACACTATTTCTAACAACCTTACAGTGAACATTTTTAAACAATATCACTGCATACTTGTAAGAATACTTTTGTAGCATAAATTTCTAGAGTGGGAAAGCAAGGACAACCTGCATCCGGAGGAATCTGCTTAAACGCGGGTCTTGAGTCCCAGCCTTCGAGGAGTAAACCTCAGGCTTGTCCTGCCCACAGCCCTGTGGCCTGGCTTCTGGTGGATGCCTGGTCGCAGACCAGCAGCACTGACCTGCTGCTTCACCTGGAGCCTGGCCCTGATCCCTGCCCTGGTTCTGGGTGGCAGTGGCTGCTCGACCGCTGGGCACAGTGTGTGCATTTGCAAATGTGCGCATCTGTGTGGGTGCACATATGCGAGGAGAGTTGCACAAAACAATGCTTACCCTCGCTGAACACAGCACCCCTGGCAGCTTCTGGTCTGAGTGGTTTTCCTTCACTGACACGAAGCGCCTGTGACAGGCCAAGCCAGCCTCCCAGGTCCTGCGTGGGAAGCGCCCGTGCCCTGCTTCCTCTTCCCGTGCCCGCTCCTCCTGCTCCACGGCGTGGCCACCGTGTGGCACACAGGTATCTGTTGATCTGCGTGTCATTACCAAGTATCACACCACCTTACCTGTCAGGTGGTGGGTGGCACGGAAACAGGGCAGCTGTGACGGGAGCCCGGGGGGCTGGGATGGGCTCTCGCGCAGGTGCTGTGCAGGCGAAGGGATGCGCCCAGGCCAGGCCGGGCCGGCTCCGCAGACGCAGACGGAAGAGCTGGCTGCAGTGAGGGGGGAGTGCCCCCAGAGGGAGGGAGGAGCCAGTTGCTCCTGGACAGAGATGACCCCTGAGAAGGCCTGGAGTGGCCAGGACCCACATCCTCACACCCACTCACCTTGGGTCGTAGGGAGCCACAGGCAAGGAAGAATCCCGCTCTGGGAGAACCAGGGGCTGGAGGGGGCGGGGCAGAAGGTTCCCCTGAACAGCAAAGGCCAGCCTGATCAAGGTGGCCCAGGGTGGGAGGCCCAGGACACCAGCTCGCAGGGACCTTCCGAGGGCTGTGTCCTCCCATCTGTTCTTGCGTGGCCAGGGGTTGATTCAGGTGTTCTGTCCCGACTCCGCCCCCTCCGGTACACTTTGGTCATGGTGGGGATGGACTGAGTTCATAGGTTTTGGACCAAATTGGGACCTGAGAGTGAAGACCACCTGAAGCCTTGGGCTGTGGCATGGGCCCAGCGACAGGGCCATTTGGGAGGTTCCCCAGGTCGGTGTGGGGGGGTGCTTTTCTGTGGATGGAAAGAGACAGGTGGACACCAGCAACTAGAAATGGCAGACAGGCCGAGGTGGGGGGCTGTCTTCAGCCCTGCTCCCCTTCTCCCTGGGCGCCCTGCCAGGCAGTCTCCCCACTGGCCTCCCACGAGAAATGCCAGTGCAGGCCTGGCCCTCAGACGACCTCCCGAACAGCCTTCACCCCCACGCCTCCGCCAGCTGGATGCTGAGGACCAGCGCAGTAGAGCGGCTGACCCAAGGCTGGTCCCCATGGAAGGCCACCCCCGAGCACCGGCAGACAAGTGCCGCCAGCGGCCCCTGAGGTTGGGGAGCTGTCACAGCAACGAGCTCGCATTAGCCTGTGCGTTCTGTGCAAGTTTTGAAATCAAGTTGTCAGTTCTCACACACAAAATCCTGTTGGTATTTTTGGTTGCTTTGCGTTTAATCAATAACAGAGGTAAAACCGATGTCTGTATAATTTGGCTCTTCCTGTCTGTGAACGTGGCTCAGCCTGCACTTCCTAGGGCGTGCCCTGGCCTCGGGAACAACTGGTTCTGGGTCCCCTGAGGTTATTCTCGGGTGACAATTTGGGGTGCTGCTGCAGGCAGTTGTCACTTCCTCTCCTAAGTGAGAGATGCCATCGATTTTTGTCTGTGACGTACAAGTAAAGATTTCACTAAGCTCACGTGGTAATTCTGTAGGTTTCTCCAGGCTCTGCGCAGCAATGTCATCTCTGAGTGTTTGTCTCTATCCTTCCATGTCTCCCTCGCCGGCACGGCCTGGGCTCTGGAACAGAGTGGAACAGGGACGGTGGCCACAGCGGGCCGCCTTTGTCTCTCCTGATCTCAGGGATGAGGGCCGCGGTTCCGTGAAGTTTTATATGCACTGTGGGTTTTTTGCTAAAGGCTTTTTGTCATGAATGATGTTGAACTTTATCAAGTGGGTTTTCTGTCCCTGTTGAGATTATCATTTGGTTTTCTACTTCATTTTGTTAATGTGGTGAATTGCGTTTAGTTTTAGAATTTTAAACCCACATTCGTTTCCAGGAATAAGTCCGACCCGGTGTGAGGCAGCCCAGTGTGTGTTCAGATAAGCTAACTGTTTCATGCCTGAGTCCACGTGGGACCTGCCTGTGGCCCGCTGCCTCCGGGGGCTGCGTGGGCTCCTGGCAGGTGCAGGCACGTCTCCTCCCCTCCCCTGGCAGACGGGTTATTCGTAAAATGTGGGGCAGGATTCACAGGTGACGCCACCTGAACCTGGAAGGGTTTGGGTGGGAAGGTTTTTAACTAGGGATTTAACTTCTGTACTAGATACGTGACTACGCAGCGTTCCTCATTCTCAGGTCAACTTCAGCAAGCTGTACTGCTCTAGGGCTTTGTGCACTCCATCTAAGTTGTCAAACACCCTGTCGCTAACAGTCTGTGGCCCTCCTTCCTTTTAGTTTGGGTCACATCTGTAATGACGTTTGTTTTTCATTTTAATGGTAGTTGTTGTGCCTTCTCTTTTTTCTTGAACAGTCTTGTCAAGTGTTTATTGACTTTTTAAAAAGACTTTCTTCATTTGTTTTTAGAGAGAGGGCCAGGGAGGGAGAGATACATCAGTCGGTTGCCTCCCACATGCTCCCAGCCAGGGGCCTGGCCCGCAGCCAGGCCTGCGCCCTGACCAGGGGTCAAACCAGCGACCTGTCCGCTCGTGGGACAACGCCAGCCCACTGAGCCCCACCGGTCAGAACAAGTGTTTGCAGGCTTCTCTTAGTATTTTCAAAAAGCTAATTTTTGGCTCTGTGTATTTTACATCTCTTTTCTATTTGTGAGTTCTTATCACTTTGCCTCGTCTTTTTTCTGTGGTTTAGTTTGTTCTTTAAGATGAGAGCTCAGCATCAGTTTCCAACCTTTTTTCCCTAATGTTGACATCCCAGGCCGTAACGCTCCCTCTGTGCTCATCCTGCCTGCGGCGTGTTTTCATGGTCTTCACTTCAAAATAATTTCAGATTTCTATTCAACTGCTCCTGCAACCCATGTGTATATGATTGACTTGGAAATATTTGGGGATTTGAGTTATCATTTTTGCTAACTTTCATTGAAGTATGATGCAGAAAACACACAAATAAAAAGTACATAACTCAACGAATTCCTTGCGTTCGGACCTCGAGCAGCACTCAGCTCGCGGAAGCGCAGGTGCGAGGCGGCCCCAGCGGCTGCCGTTGGGGCCCAGGCCCTCCCGCAGCGCCAGGGCCTCAGGCGCCGCGGCTCCACCGGCCCCGCCCCGCGTGACTCCCAGTGCTGTGCCTGTGGCTTCCCTGCGGAGCAGGAATGGGCCCCTGTTCCCACAGCCCCCGTCCTCCGCTTTTCGCCTGGCCTCAGCCTCCCTGCCGCCCGAGCGTCATGTTCCGCCCCAGGGGAGTTCCCTTTGTCTCGTCCTTGGGTGAGGTCTGTTGGTGACAGCCCTCACCCAAAGGGCCTCTGTCTGCCTCATTGTGAGGCCCGTTTTCACTGGGGTTCGAGTTCCCTGTTGGAACACGAGCTTTCTGTGGCTTGAATACCACCGCTCCCTGTCTGTCTCTGGCTCTTCACAGTTTCGCTGCCTGTGTCTCATGAGCCCTGCTGCGCTGCAGGGAGACCCCGCAGCCTTCCAGGGGCTCAGTTACCGAGTGCAGGCTCTTGGCCATTCTGGTTCATATACTCCCAGCCCCGCGGGGGTCTCTGTCCACCTGGGGTCTGTCACATGCAGAATCCCTAACCCTCACAGAGGCTGTGGCTCTCAGTTCATCAGTGATGGCATCTCCAGTTGCTTCCGTTCTGGGGCAGAGCCGCTTGTCTGGCTGAGTCTGGGTGTGTCTGGTGGCGTAACCCGTGCGGAACGTTTGCTCTCCGGCCGGCCAGCCCCTCTCTGTTGGGGGTGCACTCCCGTTTTCTGTGATGGGCTCCCGGGCCCTCGGGGGGGCGCGGTCCCTGCCTCTGTCCGCGGGGAGTGGGCCCCGAGCTGTGTGTCGACGGGCCAGGTGGCGGGATTGCTGGTGCAGAGCAGGGCTCACAGGGACCCGGCAGCCCGGCCCCCGGCCGCAACCCACGCTGCCTGAGACTTGCAGCGGCCGGGCCCAGGGACCCCACTGTCCAGACGCCCTGCGTGTGCTCTCCCTCCAAGGCCCGGGTGGGCCCGGGAGCCGCGCCGCCAGGCTGGCTGCTCGGAGGGCCGGCCAGCAGCAGCCCCCTGCCTGCCCCCAGGGGCCCCCCTGAGGCACTGCCTCCAAGGGACGTTCTCCAGTTCCTACCACTGACCCAGTCTCCTCCCTAGGCCTGCGTTCACTGTCATTTCAGGGGAATTTGGGGAGCACGAGAAGTTTAAATGGAAGGCCTCAGGGTCCCAGTTTCATGCCTGTGTCTTGCTGGCGGTTGTGGCGCAGAGACCAGGCTGGGGAGGGGACACGGGGCTCTCCTGCGTCTCCTGAGTCTGGTGGTCCCTACCCAGGGCCCGGCGTGGTCATCACCATTCTGTGCCTGGCTCGGGGCAGCTCCACCTGTGTCTGCCCTGGGACGGCTGTTGCCGTGGGCCTGGCACAGGTGCTGGGGAGGCCCAGGGAAGGGGCAGGGGGCGTGCAGGACACGTCTGTGCAGAGTTCATGAGTGGGCAGACACCCCTTGGTAAGCCCTGCTTTTCCTCACTTGCCTCATGTTGGAGCTGGGCGTCCACTCCGGTTCTCCTACCTTCACAGGAGCCCTTCCCGCGGGCGTGGGCCTTGCCTGACAGATGAGCATGCGTGGCCCCGAGGGCTCCGCCAGCTGCTGTCACGCTGCCTTCTGTCCTGGGAGGCAGGGGCACTGCCCTGGTCCCACAGCACCGGAAGCCGGGGGCGGGCTGGGGGAGGGGGAAGAGCCGTCCCACGCACCCCTGCGGACCGTCCTGGGCCCCGTTTGCTTAGCGTTTGTGGCCTCGAGCCCGGGGCAGCCCCCGCGACAGCCGCGCTCTCTCTTCCAGACGGACCCGGGCCTCCAGGCGCTCTTCCTGGGCATAGACAGCCTGTGCGAGAAGTACTCCAGGGAGACCGCCCAGGTGAGTGTGCGCCGGCGCCGCGATGGCCCGGGGCCCTGCTCTCACGCCTTGGACAGCAGACACCGGCACGCAGGGCGTGCTCAGCGGGCGCTTCCTGGCCCTGCGCCGCCTTCGTGCATTGGGCTGTTCGCTCTGTCCTTCCGTCCCCGCCCGGCTGCTGCTGGGGCAAGGGGTCCTCTGGTCAGGGAAACCGGCCGATCCTCATGCGCCCAGCATGGACCTGACTCTCGGGTCTGGTCAGGGCCCTGGGGCACCAGGCTGCACTGCTTGTCCTGGAGCCCCCTCTGTGCTGGCTCGGCCCCTGGCCCCAGCCTCTGGGGCTGCGGATCCGCACCCTCCCCGGCTCTGCTGCGCATCTGACCTCCTGCCGTCAGTGGAGCCTGTGGCCCCCAGGCGCCCGGCATGCTGCCTGGGAGAGGGGCCAGTCCCTGCCTTCCCCTGCCACCAGCAGTGCCCCCTGGCGGTCGGCGCCTCCCACCCGCCCCTCCCCTTCAGAGGCCCAGCAGCAGCGGAGCGGCCGCTCTGCCAGCCCGGGCTGACCCGGCCCTTCTCGGCCTGGCTTGTCCTCCCGGAGGCCCTGGTCAGACTGCCCACCAAGACTGACCCCTGCTCTGGCTGCTGTTCTCTGGCTTTGTGCCCACGGTCACAGCTGCCCCCATCATCCTGTGGGCTCCCACGGGGACACGTGGGTACCCCAGGACATAGCGTCAGCACAAGACGAGAGCCAGGCGGGGACATGGACTGACCTCCTCACCCCATTCACAGTGGGACCCTCTTTCGGGCCAGGTCCCCAGGGGCTCAGACGCTGCCCGTGTTTCTGAACTGGGGCAGGTCCTCCCCACAACACTCAGAACCACAGGCAACCCTGGCCTGGCACAGTCTTGCCGTGGACAGGCGTTTCAGACCGCCCCGCAGAGCCTCCTGCGGCCTTGGGAGGCGGCAGGGCGGCTGTCCACTGTCCCAGGCACCGGAGGAGGAGGTGGAGGCACTACCTGCCAAATGAGCCCCACCCCGTGCCTCTGGGTTGCACCATTGCCTCGGTCCCAGGTGCCAGGGGCATTTCCAGAGGCCTCAGGACAGAAGGGATTAACGCTCCTTGTTGGTGTCAACATGCCGGGCTTACTGTTCTTTTAAAATATCTTAAGTGTCTCTCAGCGTTCGCTTTTAGGGGGCAAACATTGACGGCTGGAACCCACACTGGCCGAGCTCTTTGGGGTCCTCAGTGACTTCAAAGGTGTAGAGCCAGCCGGGGGCCAGGGCGGTGAGCCTGGGCCCTGCCCTGCGTCTGTTGGCCCCCCGGATCCCTCGGAAGAGGCGGAGCCCAGGGCTCGGGACTGAGGGGCTGTCGGCCACCCTGACACAGGCGTGTCTTCGGAGGGGCCGCAGTGGTGGTGGCGCTGGTCGTCACGGGGGCTGGCCCTTCTCCGTGTCGCGGAGGGGCCTTCTCAGTTCCTGTCTGGAAACACCCCTGTGCAGAACTAGCGCAGCCCCCGCCCCAAGCAGGGCATCGCCGTTCGGTGACTCTCCTGCGAGGCGACTCGCACAAAGAATGGGAGACGCGGCCAGGCACCCGGGCACGGCCACTGGCGCACAGAAGCTCTCAGCGTCTCTGGGCTGGCCCTGCCCGCTGGCCCTGGTCTGTGTGGCAGTTTTGCGGTGCTCCTGGTGGGCGCCATTTGCTTGGGAGGCCACAGTGACCGGGTCGCCGTTGCCAGGGGGACAGCACTCAGTGGCTGTCCCCGTGGGCTGTGTCACCCGGCGGGAAAGGCGGTGCCCTCGGGTCCCACCGCCCTCGGTGGGACATGCTCCCCGCGTGCGAGCGCACCTGCCGCATCCGTGCAAGCGCTGCCTGGCGGCCCCGTGGCGTGTGTGGGTGCAGGCGGCGCCTGGGCCAGCCGGGAGGGGTGTGTGCCACTGTCAGCAGCTGATGTGCGCTGTCTCCTCAGATTTCAGAATTTCAAGACAGACACAGGAGGAGACTGCTGGCCTTCTACAGAGAGAAGGTAAGTCCCCTCGCCTTGCGGCCTCACACGGCGGCCTTCCAACTTCCTGTCGCACTCGTGACCTGGCGCCAGGTCTCAAGGCGGAGGGCCAGGAGTGGGGGGAGGGGACATCTGCCTGTGACCCTTGGCCCGCCGCACGGTGCCTGCGCGCCACGTCGCCGCCCAGGGCCAGCCGGGGCCATCTCCGGTCTTGTCTCGCGGGCCCTCCCGGCCCATGTGCGGCGTCTCCTCCGACTCACGGGGCAGCTTTCCGTGAACGGCAGCTCTAAAGGGCTCTGGCCGACCTGCCCGCAGGAAGCTGGAGGCGCCTGCTTGTTTGCCCAGCAAACATCCTCCTTCCTTGGCTCCTAAGCTAAGTGAAGGAAAGTAACGCTTCAGGGAAAACAGTCGTTCCGGGTGCTTCAGCTGACTCGGATTAAGGCCTCCTGCGAGGACAGACGCCAGTCGACTCAGAGAGGGGTGGGGAGAGCCCGGAGCGGCCCGCTGCAGGGGAGGGCAAGGGGCAAGGTCAGCTTCGTGTGCCTGGGGCCACGCTCACGGGACCCACCCCAGGGGCGGGGGGCGGTGCCGGGGCCTGCAGGGCAGCTCAGACCCTTCTCTGTCCATCCGCCATGTTTGTGGTTAGTGAACGTCTCTCTTTAAAAAAGGAAACCTTTGAAGGTTGAGGAGTAATTAGGGTAAGGGGCCTGCCTCCAAAGCCACAGGCCCTGCGGCCACCTCCTCGAATGTGGAAGCCGCCTGCTGTCTGCGGCCCCCGCCACCTCTCTGTGTGGGTGCCACTGCCCCTTAGGCCTGGCCGGCACGTGCTTGGTGCTTCTCCCGTCTCCCTCCCCACGCACTCCCGGCCAGCTCTGCCGCGGGCCCACACTGAGATTGGCCGGAGGAGCCGAGGCCCTGCCCGGCCCCCGCCCTGTGGGCAGTGCCGCAGAGCTGGCCGGCCGCTGCGCCTGGCCACAGCCCCATCTGCCCTGGGGCCTGCCCAGCGGTGCCCAGGCAGCTCCCCGGGGGCTCACGTTCCAACTTGAGAAGGAAGAATTTAGAGGGTCTGCGTGTCCTCTCTGTGCTGTCCCTTGGCACAGCCAGCCTGGTGACTGGAAGTCCTGCCCTCCCAGGCTGCCAGGCTGGAGGAGTCGCTCCGGAAGTGTATGCTGCGGGGGCAGCAGCTGCAAAGGTAGGTCCCCCGGGGCCCCGCCGGGCACCCACTCACCACCTCTAGGCAGAGAAGGCACATCTGTCAGAGAGAGAAGGGTGGTGGGGAGTCGGGGGGGCGGGGGGAGCAGCGACAAAGGAGAGAAGGGGATCCCCAGGGCGGGGGGAGGGCTGGGTGCAGAGGCGGCGCTCGCTGGAAAGGAGCCTTGTGGAAGGTGAGTGCTCGTCCACGTAGAGGTCACAGGGCGAGGGCCCTGCGGGGCTGCTGTCCCTCTGGCTGTGTGTGGGCGGCCTACGCGTGCGTCGGGGGCCAGGCTGCCGACGGGGCTGGGGACGCCGGCCGCCGTCATCCTGGGCTGCTCTCTGAGGGTGCACCCCAGTGGGCAAACGCGGCTGGGGAGGGACCAAGGGCGCAGTGCTGGGTGGGGCCTTTGGCTTTCTTGGTCCAGCCCTTCGGGCTGGAGTGGATGGATTGGAAGTAAGTTTCTGTGGGTTCATTGAAACATCTTTCCGTCGGTTTAGCATGAGATCGTCTCAACACACAGCTTTCAGCACGATAAGAAATCCAATTCCGAGTGAGTGGCAATGCAGCTGCGCGAGGATGGGCCGGCGGGCGGGCGGGCGGCGGGCGGCGGGCGGGCACGTGCCCAGGCTCTAACGCATGGTGCTCTGTCGCAGCTCCTGCTCCAGCGCCCCGCGGACCGCCGCTCCTGCCCTCCGATGGCTCTGCCGCTGAAAGGTGCGTGTGCCACCGGGCTGGGCGGGGCGTCCGCGACAGTCGCTAGACGAGTCACACGCCGTACGCGTCCTGCGACCTCCTGTGTTTCTGCTGCCATCCCCTACCCCGCACACCCCGAGTCCTGCCGGCACTGGGCTCCGGCGCTGCGTGTGCGGCCAGGAAGCAGTGAAGCAGGTGATGCCCGCCCTCCCCGCGTCCTGTAGGGAAGCCCAAGTGAGACTCCTTACCGACCTTTGGGCGGGCGCGTTAAGGGGCTGACGTTGACTGCGCACTGAGTGTGTGCAGGTGCCGCCGAGATCAGCCGAGGAGGTGCCACCCTGGGGGCCAGGCAGGGCCTGAGGGCCACCCCAGCAAGAAGGCGTGTGGGCCGCGGGGACGCCGTGGACAAGCGCCCTGGCGCGCGTGCGTGCTTTGGTCGCCACATGTCCCAGGCCCAGCGAGCGTGTCCTGCCGTCTGTTCACAGAGTGGAGCCCATGGAGGTCGACCTCACGCCCACCCCCCTGAGAAGGGTGAGTGGCCTGTTCTCCATGCCCCCTGCCTGCTGGTGTTCAGGGCCCCATGCTCCTCTGGGCCAACAGCCATGGCCATCCCTCCCGGCGTGGCCACCACAGGAGGCGGAGCTGTCCTGGCCGCGCGGGGCAGTGGGAGGAGGGGCAGGCCTGCTGCGCTGCGGCCTGAACGCACGGGGCGGGGGGCTAGGTGCTCAGCGAATCCGGGACACGCCCAGAGAACCTGTGGGGGTTGGGGTCAGCACTCGGAGGGGACGGCTTCCGCGGGTGAGAGCAAGGCCAGAGGACATGCGGCCTGAAACGCGGGGTGGCCACGCCCAGCCCACCTCCCGCCCAGGCCAAGCATGGTCCCAGACGCAGGCAGCGCAGAACCAGGTGCAGGGCCACGCCGGGACGAAGCGCACTCTCACCAGCTGCGCACGCCCTCGCACGGGACTGGGGTGGCGCGGGGCTTGCTGCACGCGGACACCTCGCAAACACGGATGCAGTCCTGCAGGAGCCAGTGAGGGGCTGCTTCGTGGGAGACAGCGCTCCTTCCGAGCGGCCGTCGGGAGCCGGACTCTGGAGGACCTGGGTCCCCAGGGGGAAGGCGGGGACACTCACTCAGCAGTCGGTCAGGAGACAGCTCAGGCCTCGGCAGCTGGCCAGCGCCGCGTCCCGCCCCCGTGCCCCCCAGGTCTGCCGCTCGGCACCGCTCCTGTCAGCCGGGAGTGGCCGCGACGCACTCCTTTCTGCCTCGGCACCTGCCTCCCGGCCTTACCAGCAGGTCTTGATGGACGCCCCCCCCGCCCCCACCTCCACCCCCGCTTCCCACTGCCTCAGGCCTTTGTTCTAAGTCCCCGAGTGAGGTGCTGACCAGGTGTCGGCAAGTGTCTGTCACAGGCTGGACAGCAAGCAGTTGAGACCTTGTGGATCAAGGCCTCTGTCCCAGCACCTCGCCTCTGATGGTGCGGAGCTCAGTGGGCGCCGCTGCGTTCCGGTAAAACTCCGTTAGCAACAACGGGGTGCAGACCGTGGTGGGCCGGCCCTGTGCCTTCCTCGTTTGAACTCCCAAGTGCAGCCTGGACAGAAGCTCCCAAACGTGCTCCAAGAGTGGGGTCCTCGCGTGGCCCAGCCTGGGTGCACCTTGTCCCGAGCACTCCTGGCGGCCCCTCCTCAGCCCTGTCTGCACACGGCCAGCTGGTCTATCACTGCCTCTGGGCCACGGCCATCGTCCTGTGCATTTGGTCTTTATGTGCATTTTGCTTCACCTGCCACTGGGTTCTCCCCAAGCAGAGGCCTCCGGAACCGACCCTCTAAACACAAATCCTTTCTGTTGGAGGCCAGGGAGAGAGCGGACGATTCACCAGATTCTAATCTGACAGAGTAACTGCTGTCTTCACCACGTGGAAACACTTTTCTCTTCTGGCATTTCACACACTGCAGCAGGTGCTCAGTTGGCCGGCACTGAGCGCACGGGGCGGGGTGTGTAGAACAGGCTGCAGGTGGGTGTGGGGGCAGCTCAGGGGCACGTGCAGCCACAGCGGGGGCGCCTAGGGGAGGGGGCTTTGCCAGTGGGCGGGAGCCCGAGGCAGGGCTGGGGGAGGTGTCAGCAGAGCGTGCCCTGGAGCCGCGGAGCTGGGAGGACAGCCACTGAGGCGGTGGTGGCCGAGTCTGGGCAGGTGACGCGGCTGGGCGTGTGCAGAGCCACGGGAAGGAGGCCAGGACAGGCCGTGGAAAGGGGGGGGCGGCCAGGAGTGCAGCTGTGTGTCCACAGTACCACCAGGTCCACGCAGGGGGGCCGGGGACGCCTGGCCGTCGCCAACTCGTCTCCAGGAGGGGGTTTTCCACCGAACTCTATTTTAAAACGTCTAACAGCCAAGAGCTCTGTTTGCTTTTTCGCTGTTCTGAAATTCTGAGAAGCACCTAGTGAGTCCTTTGTCCGTGCCCTGCTGTGGGCACCAGGGGACAGTGCGGGCCCAGCGGGGACCCCGTCTCCTGGGCCGTGTTCCAGGCCAGACGGCCCTGCAGGGCCGGCCAGGGCTGTGCTCTGGGTGCGGAGGTCAGCCCACACTCTCCCCCGTCACGCACGGTCTCCTCTCTGCCTCCGCAGCCCGAGCTGGCGGCCGGCCCGCCCAGGATCTCCCTCATCAGTCCCCCTCAGGACGGGCGCATGGGTAAGTCGGTCCCTGCAGCCGGGCCCCTGGAGAAAGGTCCCGTCACCTCTGTCACGACTACCCGAGGGTCGTCTTTCAGCCGTCACTTTCCCCACTGAGCAGCGGTTCTGGGCGTCCTGCCTGTGGGTGGGTGACGCACAGCAGCCGTCAGCTCTCACGCCCAGAGCCCCAGAGCCCGTGTGCCTGGGTCACGGGGAGTCCAAGCTCCGCCCTCCGGACATGGAGCTGCCTTCTCAGGTGCTGGATGTTTTTAGTGTAAGAGCTTCGGGGGGAAGTCTTTCTGAAGTGCGCCAGGCAGCACTGTCTTCCTGGGCGGAGCCCCAGGCCTCGCTGCCGCCTCCTGCCTCTGTGGGGCCGACGCCCACTCCGTCGGGCTGAGGTCCTGCTCCCGAGCAGGCCCTGCGTGCCCCGCAGTTCATCCCGAACCCTTGGTGTCCCCACCCGAGAGCCGACATTCCCGGGGCCACCTGGCCCTCGGAGCACTGCCCACGCAGCCCCGACAGCTGACCTGGTGAGGCCTCGCCTCCCTCGTCTCTGTTGACCAGTGTCGCCCCACACGTGACTGTGAGGCATGAGGGACACACTGCTTCCCGGGCCCCCTGGGGCCGAGCACGTGCGGCCCTGCCTGAGTGGGAAACGCCCGGGATTCGTCCAGTCAGCCTGGGGAGGCCAGCGGGTCAGGAGCGGCCACCACGAGGGAGACGGTTGTGCTCACAGACCTCTAGAAACAGGCGGTGCCCACGCAGGGCCAGCGGGGGGCGCCGGCCCCATGAGGAGGCAGGTTCTCGCGGGAAGGCCAGGGTGGGGTGGTGGGGACGGGCCAGCCAGGTTTGGCCCTGGCGGGTTTGCATGGTGCTGGTGGTGTCGGGGTGCAGGGACTGCCCCATGGGGTCGGCCCGGCCCCAGGGCCTAGGGCCGAGAGTGACGCCAGGCAGGGGAGGTGACCCAGAGCCCAGGTGGTGGGCGTGGCCAAACCGGGGACTCACGCAGCAGCCCGCCCGTGAGCCGTGGTGTCTCCGGGTGAGCGAGGCCCCGCGGTGTCCAGCCACCTGAGAGCACGGAAAATAAGGGTGGCACTAGCACAGGCGCGGGGAGGGCTGCTTCCCCGCTGCTTCTCCGCCGGGCTGCGGGGTCTGCGGGTCACAGCGGCCCCTGCAGCCCAGGGCCACTTAGTGCGGAGCCGCTCGGGAGGGCACAACGCCCCCCAGGCTCGGTGCTGTGAAAGGGCCCCGGGGGAGCTCCCCCGGCTGCCGTCTTCCCTCCTCATGCTGCCTTTCTCCTGTTAAACTCTCCAAAATGTGGGCGCAAAGGAATCGAGGGATTAGAGAAGAGCCGGCCACATCCCTGGAGCCGGCCGCGGACCACGTGCCTCCAGGAGTGTCTTACAAACCCAGGAATGCAGAGCTTGAGTGGAGATGACCCCTCAGCTCCCACGTGGACCCCACTGTCCCCATCTTCCTCAGAGTGGGGAGCTTCTGGGCTCAGTGCAGGTCTTGACATGTACTGAGTGCTTTCGTATACGGGGTGTGCCCCCCAGCCCACCCTGGGCATTGGGGGTGGCAGCCGGTAACTCAGCTGACCACGCAGCCCTGTCCCCGGTCCCCACGGCAGGCTGCCCATTGGCGGGGCGGTTGGGTTTGGATATTCGTGGAGCCCGCGGGGTGAAGGCCAAGGGGTGAGGCGTGCGCACTCCAGTCTGGGAGACTGGGGTGCAGGGAGGGGACGTGGGCGGGGACAGCAGAGCTCAGGCAGCTGCCCCCCCGCGCTCCTCCCCCCAGGCAGCGTCTCCTGCCGCGGCCCTCCACAGCTCAGCCTGACGCCCGGGCGCCCCAGCATGTCGCCTGCTCTCAGGTACACCCGGCTCGGCCGGTCCCGGCGAGGGGTGGGGTGCAGACTCCTCCAGCCCAGCTCCCTGCACACAGCCCTGGCGCCCTGTGTGCTGCCGTTCCCCCACGTTGCGCGCTCCGAGGGTGCGCTGCACAGACCCCTTGACATTTCACTTTTCTGGAGCTAACATGGAACTCAGGCCCTTGCCCTCCTGCTGGTGAAGCGTGTCGGGCCCTGTCCTGGCTGCGGCGTTTCACCACGGGTCCAGTCCAGGGGCCACAGGCCGCTCTGCACCAGCGCGTGCGGCCAGGGTGCTGAGGGGCACCTCTGTGACCCCCCGAGGCTGCCGGCAGGGGCAGGGGCTGGGGCTGGCTTGGCCCACGGGCTGCTGTCTGCTAACTCCAGGCAGATGGCCACCCACTGGCCTGTGTCCACCGTCTCAGACACAGGCCTAACGTCTGCCGCCCCGGACGTGTGACTGGCGCGTCCTCAGGGCTCTCCGAGCGCAGAGGCCAGGCGGTCATGCCCCTCCCCCACCAGAAGCCCCCGTGTCGCTTCCAGTGCTGAGGGCCGCCCCACACCTGGCCACCGGCCGCCGGCCAGCCGGTGGCCTCCAGCGTCCTCCCCCAGCTCAGCCGGAGCCACACCTGTGCCCACTGCCCCTTGACGCGTGAGGCCATCCCCACCCGCTGCCGGACCATGCCTGCCGCTGTGACAAGACTGACAGCCTCCTGCCCCCACCTCACGGCCCGGGGGACCTGGCCCTCCACGCTGGTGCCCGCGGGCAGTAACCCTTGACTTTGGTCGGCAGCGGCACTGGTAGGGGTCCCCAGCGGGGCGTCCGCCGAGAACAGGCACTGGGCCCGGGGCGTGGCTATCAGAGGCAGCTCGGCCCGAGCTCAGCACCTGGCCTCTGCCCCCTGGGCAGTGGGAACGTGGCCTTTAAAGCTGAGACACAGTCTGTTTGTGAACAGTCACGTCGGGTCGTGTGGAGCTTTGGTGATTTTGTTTGTTTAATTTACTCCTAGGATTTCGCCTCTGCAGATCCCCTGCTGGGGGTCGGCCCAGAGCCTCGGCCCGCAGGCCACAGGCAGAGCGGGGGGTGGGAGCTTGTCCCACCGCGGCAGCCCCCCGGCCCCAGCGCCCAGGCCGCCCATCAGCATCTCGGGGCTGCTGCAGAGGCGGCAGGCAGGCAAGTGCCGGGCCGGCGCGGGATTCCCGCTGCCGCAGGACGCAGCCGTTGGTGGTGTTCCCACAGTGTCACGGTGCTTGTGGCTGCTTCCGCAGGGTCTGCCGGCCCCGGGGGACTCGCGCTTGGGAGGTGACCTGCTCCTGCCTGCCTGCCGTGTGCTCCAGCCGGCCCAGCAGCGCGCCCAGAGGGCAGCAACACTCAGCGGCGCGATAAATAAAGCGTTTCCTGGTTGTCTGGGCAGCGTGCGTGTGAGGTGCTTGGGACGCTGCTGCCTGGCACCTGAGAGCCCCTCTCACGGGGGTTTCCGCTCAGTGAGCGCTGTCAGCCGAACCTTCTGTGACCCGGCGCCCGCAGCGCTCGGGTCTGCAGCCCGCGGGGCCCGTGATGGGGTCCTGCACCCAGACCTCACGCAGGACAGGCCGGCAGCTCGGGTCACCTTGCGTCCTGGTGGCCTGTCCTCTGACAGTCACGTGGTGCTTGTGGCTCACAGGCGACACTGGGTTTTATCCTGGCTTCTTGCCAGGCAGGTGAGATACCCCGGCTGAGAAGGCCACGCGCTCCCCACGGCTCCCTCGCCAGGACCACAGTGGGTTGAAAAAGAGGCTTATGGGGTGAATTATCTTTTATGTCACAACTACCTAAAACGTGTCAAAAAACGTGTGTTGCCTCAGCTGGGTCAGGCTGGTCCCAGGGAGGCAGGAGGCTGCGCTGGACTCAGGCGAAGCTCCCATCAGGGAGGGAGCCCCTGTTCTGCCCCAGACAGGCACTGCCTGGGGACGGCCGTCCTGTGGGTGGGTGGACACATGCGGCAAAGCCCCTTGTTCGGAAGCGTCACGCCAGGTGTGCGTGTTCTCCGTGGGTTCCGGTCCCAAAAACGTTCAAATGCTGTGAATGCCTGCCTGGGGCGTGTCCTTCCCGGTGCCTGCTCTGCGTGCTGTGGGGCCGCCCACGCCCCCTGCAAAACGCACTCGGCGACCCTCCGCACCGCCCTGAGCCCACTCCCCGGTCGGGGGGCAGGGCAGCAGCAGCCCCGCCGGAGTGCCTGCCCGCCCTTCTCTGGGGGTGGGGTCGGGGGGCACCCGGCCCCACTCGGGGGTCAGCACCCGGGGTCGGCCTGCGAGACGCTGCGTCACCCCCTGGAGCCGCGCGGTCAGCCTCGAGGCTGCCCTGGCCTGCCCAGGAGGGCGAAGCTCTCGGTGTGGGCGTCAGAGACAGCACTGGCGCTGGCCACGGGCAGACGTGCTACAGCTCCACCGTGAGCGCTGTTCAGACGCGCCCGCCGCTGAGCGTGGCTTCCACCTGGGCCGGGCCGGGCCGGGGCGCCCGCAGCCGCCACGTCACGCTCGGCAGTGTGGCTCCTGCCATGGCTTTAATTTTGTTTCTCACCTTGTTTCCATCACAAGATGATACTTGTTCATTCAAGCCCGAGATGGAGCACGTGTGAGGCAGTCCACTATACTGACACCACAGGCCCCCAGGGACGGCCCAGCCTAGGGGGCCTGTCCCCACCCCCACCCAGGGCCCCCCATCTTCCGGCTCCCCCCACATCCAGCCCACCCCCACCCAGGACCCCACCCCTCGGCCGGTGCGATCTCCTTTGGCAGCCCCAGGCCAGGTCCCACCTTTCAAGCCCTGCTGGGTGGGCGGGGTCACTTGGGTTTTAATAAGAACAGGACAGCGAGCAGGTTCTAGAGCTACCAGCTCGGTGGCTGCGAGCTCGGCCCAAGGCTCCTGTGGGCCGAGAGGGGAGTGAGCAAGGTCATATGCCGTGCCCCACTCCTCAGTGCGCCCCTCGCCGCACCCCCTCAGCTGCAGCAGCAGACTGGGCTCCGGAGGGACACCAGGGAGGCCCAGCCGCTGACCCAGGAGAGCAGGGCGAGGGTCCCTCCACCTGAGGGAGCTGGGGGGGGCAGGGCCCAGGTAGACAGCCCTGGGAGCGGGGCTCGGCCTGGAGGGCGAGGGGATTGGGGTTCCGGAGGGTCCCAGGACAAGGAGTTCCAGGGCTGGCATGGGCGGGCCAGGGTTCTGCAGCCACCACCGCTGACCCCGCAGGACGCCGGGTGCTCGGCCTCCCCGGAA